GACCTCCCGTCAACACTGGGCAGGAAACAAGCTGAGATCTGGGACACGTCAGTTCCTTGTCTGTCCCCGTCAGTCACTTACCCTGACTGGCCTTGCTGTGCTGCCCCTGAAGGCTGGAGYGGGAGCCGCCAGGTTCCCTGAGCGCCCTGGGCGGCACGGCCCCCTGGGGTCAGCTGGGTTCTCTGCGACGGCAGGGACTCCTTCCCCCTCCTGGTGCCAGGGCTGTCTGTTCACCAGCCGTGCCGACCCTCCTACTTCTGAGACGGCTCTGGGATCCCCGGGCCAGTCACCCACTGGGCGCCTGCCTGTGAGCCGCCTCCTTGTCCTCAGCTTTCCCAGTTTCAGGGCCTCTCCACCTAGCACAGCAACCAGCTCTCTGAGAGGTGGGCTTTAGGCTGCTGGGCCTCTTTCAGTGTGTACCCGGATGGAGGTTGGTGATCACTAAGCCCTTGCTGCAGGGAAGCCAGGGTTTTTGTACAGAAGCAGCCAGGCCACACTGTCAAGAGGGAAGACTGACTTATCCCCAGATCTCTCGTCCACCTTTTCCTACTTTTTCTGCCCCTCTGCAGAGACTTGAAGAATTTCTCTGTGAAGTCCTGCTCCCACACAGGCTGTGCTCTTGGACACCGTGACAGGTTTTCAGCTCCTTCCTCCTGGAAGGCTCCCGGCAGAGGCCATCTGCATGGCATGTGCTCCTGTGGTCGCTGGGCAGGTTGGCTCAGAGCTGGTCTGACTTCCAAGAACACCTTTCCATGGGGTAATGAGCTCACCTTGGAGTCTGCCGGCAGGACAGGCCCACGGAGACAGAAATTAACAGGTTGATGAATGCGCTTCTTGTCCAAGGACGGCAGCCACATCCACGAGGCACGACACAGATGTGATGTGCAGRGAAAGCAGGTCGCGGGACACGTGGGTGCTGAGCCAGGGACCCATCCCCCAGCCAGCCCTAGGCAGGCCGCTCCACCTTCTGAGGTGTAAAACAGAGACAGTGACGTCTGTCCTGGGGGTCATCGGGCCCAGGTAGATCAGGGCAGGCGATTGCCGGAACACAGTGCGTGAATGCTGCTGAGTGTGGTCTAACGGCCTTGGTGGGGACCAAGCACCAGCCTCGGAGTCCTCCTGCCTCCCAGTCCCTTCCTCAGGCTCCGGCTGCACTGTGTTCAGGCCTCTGTGCATCGTCTCTTCCAAGGGCACGAGGTGGCACTGACCCTCGGAGCCACTSGTCACCTTACCTGGCTCTGAGTAGAACCTCACAGTTTTTAAGGGGTTTTCAACACATGGTTTCGATTTTTGCTTGCTTAGAGCTCTGAGAAGTCTTCTCCATCAAAACCAGAACCCACCAAGAATCGAGGATGATCCTACAGCAGGTATCTTGGGTGCCTGCTGTGAAACGCACCTGGCTGGGTCCCAGAAGCCTGCCAGGAGGAAGGGAGACAGGACCCCTGSCCTCCAGAGGTGAACAGGAGGGTGGAGTCAGAGGAGGACCCAGCAGGGTGGGCAGTGTCCCCATGCAGAGCTGCGCCTGGCCCACACAGGACTGGGGTTGGGGGGGATTTCTAGCTACGTGTTGGTCCCTCACTGGCCTATGACAGGAAGAACATCTGCTCCTGCCGTCCGTCTCTGGGGATGGCGAGAGCCGTTGGAAAGAGCAGGTAATTCTTCGTATTAAATTACAACCCAATCTCATTCTTTCCATGAAGTGACCATATGGCCACCTCTCCACTGGAACACCATCCTAGGGCCGAGCTGCTTGGCAGCTGGTGACTTTTTGTTCCATAAGATTATAAAGTGCTTTTATTTTTTCATTATAAACAAAATCAAGGGCATGAGGTGGCACTGACCCTGGGAGGAAGCCAGAAAAGTCTGAAGAAGAACAAAGAAACACAGCACGGTGCAGCCCCAGGAGGGCATGCCGTGCACTCTCCGTTCCCCTCAGCCCTGTGCCCCAAGGAGGTGGCGCTTCATTCACGTGGATAGCCRGCTCCTGGCGGGTGCTCAGCCTGCACCGGGCAGGAGAGGAAGCAGCCCACGGTGGTGGATGCGGGGGYGCCTCGCGGACAGGGTTCAAGCTGGAGGGAGGATTTGGGTTGGCCAGTCTTCAGGTGATATTCCACTCAGGGAGAGGTTGAAAGCCGAAGGAAAATCCGAGCTGTGTGTGAACATTTTATTACCCTTCCCTAAAGTGACGTTTGAGGCGGGTGCGTTTCCTTGTCCCTGCTCTACCAGGGAATAAACTGAGTAACGACCCACCAGGTGCCGTGACCACTCATCCACGGGTCGGGCGCCGTTCTGTCCAGGTCACACTCACCTGACCTCCCACTCGGATCCAGGGTGGTAAAGGGTTCACRACCACTCCTTGTCAACGTGCTGTCCTCAAAGAAACCCAAACAGGAGAGGTTCAGCTAGAAGCCACTGAGACTTGGAGAGGAGAGTGCACGGTGGGCCACGTGGCTCGCGGACTGTGGGTGAGTGYGCTGAGCTGGGCGTGCTCTCTCTGAGGGTCAGCAGTGGAGACCCCAGAGCRGTGCAGCTGGACGTGGGACCAGCTGGAGTCCAGGGAGACCCCCAGTTTCAGGGTGAACAAGAAAATACACGGAAGATGGAAATGTCTTGGATTTTAAGGTTTCTCTGGGTGTTTTTCTTGCTTTTGAGTTTGTGCTTCTGCTCGTGGTTCTGTGGAAATCGTTCTTTGGGAGGAACATGGAAAAGTGCTGAGATAATCGTGTCTGGAGACATGAATACGTCTGGCAGAGGAGCTCTGGGACAGCGCGTGTGGATGAGGAGCCAGGGTGAGTGGAGGCCAGCCCAGGCCGAGGCGGGCTGTGTGTTCATGTGTGTGCGTGGGCGGGATGGATGCCTCCTCCTTAGATCTCTAAGCCACGAGGCCCCAGATTATACCTGAGTTCCAGAGACAAATAATAAATTACAGTTGACAGCAGAACTAGTGTGTGTGTCTTACGGTGCTAATGTGAGCTGCCCTTCCCTCCTTGGGGCCGGGTGTGGGGCCTCCCGGTGGTCTGGTGGCTGACTCCTCCACTCTCTGATCCTCTGAAATGCAGGACCCGGGCCTAGGGTGGAGGCTGGTATATGATATGACCTTAATTTGTGGCATCAGTGACGGAGCGAGGGAATGAATGGGGGCTGAACTTAATGCCACCTATTTTACGAACGTTTCCTCATCACAGGCCTATGTGAAAATCACCTCACCAGGACTTGATTCCTAACCTTTGCACTCCTCTTTGCCTTCTCTTACTGTGTTCACTGGGTACTTATTTATTAGGATCTCACTTATTTCTTACACCAGCCGCATGATGTTATTATCTATAGGTAAGAAAACAGTCAGGAAAGGCAGGCGACGTGGCCAAGATCACGCAGGACGCTGGGAAGTGGCGGGCGGGGATGTGGGTGCCCAGGTACCTGGAGTCCAGAGCTCACAGTGGGTCCCCGCCCCTGGAAGTCCTTCTTGTCCTTCAGGGCCACTGCCACCTGGCTCCTCGGGAACCCGCTGCTCTCACCTTCCCTGGGCGCTGGCTCCCCCCCAGGAGCCTGCAGGCCCTGGGGCCAGGGGCCATTTCTCTCCTCCCACTATCTTTCCATGTGGCCACCATCTTGAGAAGGGGTATGGGGAGGGGYTCTTTTCCAGGCTGGGCAGAGGGAGGCCAGGGCTCTGGGGATTTGTCTGATATTAGGCAGCCCCTGTCTGCCAGAGCCAGGGGCAGGGCCCACATCCCCCCCTGCAGTGCCAGGCTCCTCCCTGGTGGACGGTGCCTGAGCAGATCCTCTTCTAAACAACTCAGGGCAGGTGGGGGAGCTCACGGCCTCCTGGAATGGCCAGGAAGCCTGTGGTGACCTAGACCCCATCCTCCTTTTAGACAGTCGGCCTAGAAAAGCCAGGTGACGTACCAAGGCTGTGGAGAGAGCTAGAGACAGGAAACTCACAGTCGGGGGTCCTAAGGCCTCGCTGTGGCACTTAGTTTCTGCTGACTAATGTAAGCAGTAAAGTGTAAATGATTCACATTCCGCCAAGTGACCATGGCTTTCCTGCCGTTGTCCTTGGCCTACATACAAAGTGTCTCTCTGTGGAAACTCCATGTCCTCTGTCTGGCACAGCCTCTTCTGTGGCACTGCCTGTGGGTCTATCTCCTGGCCAGTATCCCTGCCGTCTCCTGAGGGCCCTCCCAGCCCCACTGCCGCCCCGTCCTCTCGCCAGCCCTCTGCTTCCACCTGGGATGCCCAGTCAGCCCATCAGCAGCCGCGGCAGGGCTTGGCCCCCTGCCAGCTGTGCTCCGCAAGCCGGGTGCAGGCCCCTTGCTGCTTCTCAGCCTGAACCAGCGCTGCCCGCACTAAAATATTAATGGCTCTCTTTGTGAAGGATAACACTGGGAAGCTTCTTATTGTAAATTAGAATTGTCAGGGAGGCAGAAACCACGACAGAGGAGATCAAGCAAGTTTGCCAAAGTATCTCAGAGGTTAGGACCAAGGAGGGCGCCGTGAGCTCCATCTTGCCCATCAAGATGGTGGGTGCTGGCAGTGGGAGATGCAGTCACCCTCCTGGAGGACTGAGGTTCGTGGTCTTGGCCACCTTGGGGGGCTTGTGGAAGGTGGATGCCTGGGGTTTTGCCTAGTACCTCCATTCCTGGTAGAGTGGAAGAAGGAAGGGCAGCATCGAWGGGAAAAGGCAAACTGTTTGGTTCAAGGAAACAGGGGCTTCCTGTGGTTAGAACTGCTGTGACACATGGGGTCTGCATGGCTGAAGGAAGCCCCGGGGGAGAGACAGCCAGGCTCAGAGGCAGGGAATGTGCTCCGCCTCTGGGATCCTCCGGTAAAGCCAGCCCCCGGGCACTCTATCTGATCCCGACTCTGCCAGCGTCGTCTTTGTGTTCCAGGGTCCTGGGCGGATCACAAGGCTGAGCTGGGTCTGCAGAATGAATGAATGACTAATCAGAAAGGGGAGGGGGAGGGGGATGGAGCAAGACGGACCCTTGATATTTGCAGCCCAGTCATGTTAAAAATTTTATTCCTTTTATGAGGAAGAGAGTACMAAGGGCCAGGGACAGACATATATAGGAGGAAGAGAGAGTCTCACCTCAGCAGAGGACACCCCGTGCTAACCTAGGCAGGAATCCTCAGTCACCCAGGCCCAGTGCAGGAGGCTTGGCCAGCGGCCCCAGGGCTGCAGGCATGTGCCACCACCCCCCGGGAGTCCTGGGCTGGCCTCTGGCTGCCAGTAACCCCACACTACTTCCCATTCCCCAGAGCGACCCGGCCACGCTCATCTCGCCAAGCTCCCAGTCTGAGTCCCACTCTCTGACCTTTCTCTTGACATGMTTCTACGGCTCCGTGGCCCCTGCACACATCCTCATGGTGGTAGACGGACCTTCGCCTTTGAGTTGAGGAGGTTCAACTCTGCCCTCACCCCCTCCACCCCGCCTTTCACCTGCAGGTCCCTGGAGCACAGAGACCCTGTGGAGGGGGGCGGAAACACGTCACTTCAAGGCAGAGGCCTGCTTTGTGAGGACCCTGGGTGTCATTCCAACAGACTTAGCTGAGAGCACCTGTGCTACACCCCTCCCCAAGCTCTGCCCGCCCGCCCTCTCCTTCCCTCCCTCCCAGGTCACTGTGCTGAACTGAAAGCTCATTTTACAGTAAAGCAGCAGCAAGGCGAGCCAGGCCTCAGGAGGCGCCTGGGAGCCCAGTGGGCACGTGCCCTGCAGGGAGTGTGGCCAGTCATGGGAGACAGTTGCTACGGGATATGTTGAAAGCAAGAAACGCAGCTTAATTGTGGATGTCCTTATAAATGTGGTGCCATGAGAAGGGCCCAGGCGGCTGGCACGGCTGTTCCCGCATCAGGGAGAAGAAAGAGCGGCAGAAACAGCTGGGGGGGAGGGGGGGAGTTCCGGCTGAAGTCACACGCAGGACACTTGGGACTCCAGGCCCCTTCCTTTCGCCCAGGTCTGGCAGAAGCGGATCTAAGCGTTTGCAAATTCGCAGTCGTAGTCTGTCATGCGGCACATGATRAACTTCCACTGGCGATCCCTGTGGGGACAGTGGGAAGGAACGTCAGGGAGAAGAGCCACCCACCAGGGGAAGAACCTGCTGGGGAACAGGATGGATCTGGGAGTGCAGGGACACCAAAGCTCACCGTGTCCTTGGAGGACTTGTCCATGAAGTCTCCAGAGAACCGACACATCTGCAGGAGGCCTGGCTGCCCCTTGCAAGGGGACAGTGAGGTTCCAGCCACACAGAGGCTCCTGTTCCTCCCTGGTGGCCAGCTCCCCACAGCGTCCCCTGAGCACCTCAAGGACCAGAGGCTAGCGACATGGTGAAAGCACTTGTTTGACACCCTCCGCCTCCCACTGAGACGAAACTTCTTTCTCTGGGGCCACTGTGTTCTCATGGAACCCCTCTTGACTGAGCGCTCAAGGTGCCAGTCCACCCTGCACTCCTGTGTGTCTCTTAAGAAAGCACTAAGCAGAGAAATGAAGGGAGGGGACCACGTAGGACCCCGCTCCCCAGGTGAAAAGGAAATGCCCGCCTTCTGGAACACAGGAAATGGAGTGGCCCTTGAGTCCAAGTGGGGAGGGGCCCCAGGGGACACAGAATTGCTCAACTTTGAAAACCATGGTGTGGCTACCTGTCAGGGAAGGTTCCTTGCTAAGAACAGGGCCATGTCTTCATTCAACCATTTAATAACAATCTCTTGGGTGCCACCCTGCCCGACGCTCTGCTGACCCAGCCCCATTTAACAGTGTCACTGGTGGCTGGACTGGAAGCCCTCCAGGCACTCAGCCTGCTCTCTCAGTGTCTCACGTGATTTGGGTTGAGGGGCAGAGGCAGGCTGGGAGGGCTAAGTGATGGCTTTTAGGGAACACGAATAAGAGGCGATGAGTCAGACTCCAAGTCTGCTGGACCTCACACCATGCTGCCCCCCAGCAAGGTGCCCCTGACCCCACTAGAGGACGAAGCTGTCATACCCTTTGCCCAGTCCCGATAAAGGGCAAAAATAGCTTCCCTGTATTCAATCCTTCAAACCCTCCCAAAGCACYCTGGGGTCCTCTGACTCAGAGTTGGCTTCTGAATGGGAGGTGGGATAACCACCGGTTCTGGGGATCGATGGGCCCCCTGGAGCCGCCCACGCAGGCTTCCCAGCGCTGCCTGCTGCTCCAGGTACCTGCGTAGGGCAGTAGGGAGGAGATGCCCAGGGCAAGCCTCTGAGGCTCTGGATGATCTATCAGCTATTCATTGGTGTGTGTTTCTACAAATGTCCACAGAGGACATGGCTTGTTTTAGATATTGAGCAGATTGGCGGCCAGTCTTATGTACCTATGTACCAAGAAACAGAGGTAAATCAGACTTTACGGCCCAGCATTTCTACTGATTTTTAAGAAAAATTAACTAATTTTTAGTTAACTAATTGCCTAATCGATGCCAAGAGAGATACTTGGTCCTCAGAGGAGCAAGCTCTGCCCCCAGGCTCAATCTCTGGGTTCCTTCCAGGACAGGGTTTTCATCCAGGGGTGCATTTGCTCTCTAGTGAATATTTGGCAATGTCTGCAAACAGTTTTGCTTGTCACAACTGGGGATGGGACACTACTGGCATCTAATGTGTAGGCTTCACATGCAGAACCACAGGACACACCTCTGTCTGTCTGTCTGTCTCCAGATGTCCACAGTGGTCGTGCCAGTCCCCGAGTTCTTTACTAAGAGGGAACCACCATGATTTGCATATGAAGGCGGGCAGGTGCCCAGGGAGTCTCTCKGGCCGTACCCTCCAACCTGGACCTCAGCATCTTCAAAAGGGCCAAGGAACCCAACTTAGAGATCTTTAAGCTGCTGATATTAGTGACAGCAGCAAAATTGCATGGGTATACTCATTTTTTTTGGGGGGGGGGTGGTATTCATTTTTAAACAATGCAATGACTCATTCCCCAGTTTTCTATGATTCTAGGTTATCCATAAGACCGAACATTTCCAAACCATCAGGAATTGCACATTTGAACTGCCAAAATATATTTATTTTGCAATCATTTTGGATGCCCTTCTCTCTGTACTGCATTCTTTTCTGCCTTCTTAACCAGGAAATGCAGAATCGATTTCTTTCTGACCTTTGTTAGGAGCACTGGACACCCTACTAGGTGGCAGTTGCCTGTTGCACTGTGGGGAACACCTCCCTGCCCAGTGGCACAGTTTCCCTCGTTCACTGAGTTCTTGGCCTTCCTTTTTTTGTTGTGCGTACATCATTCAGCTGTTTCTTCTCATGGATGAAACGGGTTTCATTCTAAGTAATATTCTCTAAGTTGCTCTTTTTAGAAAATAGGTAACTAAGGGAGTTAAGTTATGATAGCTGTGGGTCTCTCCTGTGGGTGTTTTGTTCTTCATGGAGCCTCCAACATCTACTGGGCTTTTCCAGAGCTACTTAATGTCTTTCTTAAAAAACAAAAAAACCCTATGCCATCTTAAATAAGTTATCTTCAGTCAAAGGAGGTGTAATCTCATTTGAAAACATAAATATACACAGAAGATAAGTCACACTCAAATTCAGCATAGTTATCTAATGAGCTAATGTAAGTTTTATTCGGTTTGCAAAATAGGCACTGGTCATTTTCTAGGAATTCATTTCTGTACAGAGTGACCACCACCTTATTAAAAGTAGGCAAGCCAATCTTTGACCCCTGAATTACCCTGTACCTCTCTGTATCATAGTGGAACTGGGCCAAACTCCAGGGGAAGGACATATCTGCAGGAATCTTGATTTTTATTTCCTTATTGTTTTGTCTTGATGTATTCTAGGTAGGGTTGGGAGCTGACCATGAGAGAGGGAATTTTAAAAGCTCATTTTTTTTCTTTCTTCTTTAGATTAAAGTTTCCTCTTTCATATAAAAAAAATTCTAGCATTGTCAAGGACTGAGGTATTCCTTTTTCATTGTAATTATGTTTAGCGGGTGCCCTGGGGTCTGTTAGTGCCTCGCCCCAGATTCATAGTCTGGAACCTGAAAGCTGGTGTATTGGCATTAAGAGGTGGAGTCTCTTGGGAGGTGACTAAGTCTTAGGGGCTCTGCCCCCACCCCTGGGATTAGTGCCCTAATACAGAGGCTGAAAGGAGCTGCCTTGTCCAGTCTGCCTGTGAGGACACAGGAAGTGTCCTTTACAGCATAGAACAGTCCTTCCCAGACACGGAATCTGCTGGCACCTTCATCTTGGGCTTCTTAGTCTCCAGAAGGTGAGCAATAACTTTCGGTTTGTTATAAATCACCCAGCCTAAGGTTTTATGTTACAGCTACCCACCGACCAAGACAGTCGGCCATTGTATTCCTTCCCTCCCATGCCCCTCCTCTCCTCTCTTCCTTCCCAAAGTGGGGGTCATGTAGCGTCAGGATTGGACAGGGTCCAGTGTGACAGTGGACACTCTGCCAACAATTTTTGCCTTCTTCTTTTGATGCTTGGTGAGAGAAGTGCTCTTTGAAATCAATGTGGAGAAGAGCTGGGGACATCAAGGGACACCAGGTTTAGGACTCCTCTGGGAGCAGGCGGGATCCACCCTCGTCTCCCAGGGGAGCCGCCCTGTGAACAGAGCTCCTCACACCAGCTCACCTCTCCTGGCCTCCTGCTGTCCAGCCAACTCCTGGGCTCGCCCTTGACCCAGCAGGAAACTCGGGGAGGGAGCCCAGCCAGCTGTTCCTGCAGGTGTGATCTCAACTAGAACCGGTTCCTACCTCTGCTGGCCCCGACCCCGGGGAAGGGGTCCCCATCTCACCTTTCCACGGCAGAGAAAGTGGTGGTCGCTCCTCGCATGTAGTAATCGTAGTTGTAGGAGATCATGTCTATTTCCTCCCCATAGTGGCCTGGGTATTCTGTCGTCAGCCTGTGGGAGCACAAAGAGGGCAGGGGGAAAAGATCAAGCTGGCCATGATGGCAGGGAGCAAGTGGAAAACAGAGTGGAGAGAGGCGAGGGGGACATCTTGGGCTACAGCCCCCTCCAAGCYCCTCCAGGCCCCAGGGACAGCAGCCTTCTCCCATCCCCACCCTCCAGTTCCTGGCTGGACAAGAAGAGGCACAGACTTCCCAGGCTTGGAAGCAGCATCAAATAGTCACACTCTAGTCCAGCCACCTGGGATGATGCTTACAAAATGTGGATCATGACTCACTATTAGATCATAAAACTGATTTGGCTATGACCAGTTTTAAAAAGGAAGAAATAAAAAGAACAGAAGATATCASAGAATGCATTGCATGCAATAAAGATCAGCCAGTATGTAGATGTAAATTTTTTGTATGTATATGTATATTGATGCGATGTACCTATTGTGTGATAGTTTAATACATATTTCTTATCATGGGTCACAATTGAAAAAGTGTTCAAAATTATTCAACTAAAATGTAAGCTCCACAAATGTGAAGTTTTTGTTGTGTACGTTTCTCTGGCAACTAAAACAGTTCCTGGTACATAGTAAATATTTGCAAAATAAATAAATGTCYTTGGGAGAGTCATTTAATCTGTTTCCTGTTCTTATAAAAGAATGGAAGCCACCTTATGGTAAATACCAGATGTGGAATCATTAAAGATATTTGTTTCTTCCTCTTCCTCTTTTCCCTTCTTTCTTCCYCAAGGTAGGGTCAATTCTAGGTTTCTCTTGAGCAGGCTTCTTATGGTTCATCCTAGAGTAAACCTAGAGCCCCTGGGTTCTCATAAGGGCTTTGATCCTGGGGTCTTCAGACCAAGAGAGTCTTTTCAGTGTGAAGTGGGTTCTCCAAGTGTATCCACATCCCCAGGGCTGCCCAGGAAACAGCTAGTGAGTGAGCACCAGTGATTCCATTTGGTTTAGGTTGACCAGGTCATTGCATRTCGATGGTGGAAAGATCTTCCCCACCGTAGACCGATGATCTTCCTCTTAAGATGATGAGGATGGTCATGAAATCTTGAGAGGCCTGAGTTTTCAGCTGCAGGGGTCCTTGGAGGATCCTGGTTTGGGTGCAGCAGGACAGTGGTCATCCCAGGAGTTCCGGACAGGAGCAGAAACCAACGCCACCCCTGGCTCATGGTCATTCCATYCACATTGCTCATCTCCCCTCCTTCTATCTTTGTCTTTCCCTAGACATGATTATGCTCTATCAGACGCCAAGCCCAGGCCAGAGCAGGCTGCGTGTGTCTGCTTGACGTGCAGATGAAGGAAAACCAGGCTGTTAGTTAGGGGCCCATCGGGGCCTCTACAGAGACCTGGAAGCAGGACTTCCTCTCTCTCTCTCTCTCTCTCTCTCTCTCTCTCTCTCTCTCTCTCTTTCTTTCTTTCTTTCTTTTTTTGTTAAATATTTGTTTTTTAAAACCTTCCTTCCTTCCTTCCTTCCTTCCTTCCTTCCTTCCTTCCTTCCTTCCTTCCTTCCTTC